GCTCGTTCAGCAATCATGAAGCGCTCCGCCAGCGTGGCAGGATTTCCGCCCTGTCCTTTCAATATGTCCATTGAGGTACCTGTTTTTTCGGATATCTGTACACAAGAGCGGGCATTCACTGCGTTTGTTCGAGTCGAGACGTGCAACTATATCGCCAAGCGACGGCTACAGCAGGTTATTTGGGACCATACAGGACTGGCTCCACGACTCAATGCCTTTCAGCTGAGACAGCGAGGACGTCAACTTCCATATACTGATCCGATTTCGACTATTTCTCCTTTTGTGCCAGTAACCTTTGTACGCACCTGGCCTCATGAGTAGACGGGCAAGATACCGTGAGAGAATTTGATGACCAGGAACATAGTCGGCTTCAGAAAAGGAAGACCAGCGACTCTGTATTGCTGCCCCGATGGGGCCTGTTTGTGTGATCCTGCTGTACATGCGACATGTTATGCTTCACTTCTGTAGGGCTCTGACGTTTTTGTTTGGTGCTTGATGCTTTTTGGGTTTGGTTTTGTTTTTGGTTTTGTTTTTCCTTCTCAGTTTTTACCTTGCAGGGGGGCAGGACATCCTTAGCAGTGCCTGCCCAACGAAGAGGCTGCTAAGAGATGCTGATGCGACAGGGGACGCTCTGTCGTGTACCTGCAGACAAACAGCTGGGGCCCCTGAGCCAGCAAGATTAGAACAAGCTTTTGACTGCTGACCTTCACTCAGGCAGGTTTGCAGTTTTTCCAAAGTTTTCTTTCAAAGTGTCAACTGTCTTGTAAAGTTTGGCATGTCTGTCAGATCCTGCCTTTTTTCTTGCGCGCATTGCAAACATGTCGGTCATGAGTGCATTGAGAACATGTCAGTTATGTGCATTGGACGATCGTACAACCTGTCAATCAGGCGAGACAAGGCGGGCCTAACATGCATCTCTCCAGTTGTGTTCTGTCGTGGTTTAGCTAGGGACTGAGTGCCGCAGCCGCGGTCGACGAAGCCCGATCAAGCCAAAAAACGGAACCGGGGCTCAGTGTCTCAAAGCAGCGAGCCAAATCAGGTCAAAGCAGCAGACTTGGATTTAAGAGCCCTGTGTGTTGTCGGAAATGTTGGCTTGACGTACCGCGTGCTTTGTTTTTTGCTTTTTGGAGTGCCGCCTCTGCCCATGAGCAACCATTAACGACTGCTGCCCAAAGGCCCAAACAGCCCTCGAAGGCCCTGCGCATTACCGGAAACGTGCAGAGAACAGAGCAGTGTTTGCGCGAACGGTGGGGTAGAATGAGCAACTAAACAAGGTGTTACACTCTAAACCCAGTTCTAAGAAGTAGGATTTGTTGCTGTTTTGGGCTTCGAAGTGGTGCCCCAAAGTGCTGAGAAATGCGATTTGTTGCAGTTGCTTCGGTCCGCCCCACTGCTAAGAAGTACGATTTGTTGCAGCTGCTTCCTCCCTGGTATGGTGATCCAGTGCTGAGAAGTACGATTTGATGCTGTTGTTTTGGCTTCGAGGAATCCCAGTGCTACGAAGTACGTGGTGCTCCAGTGCTAAGACGGTAACGCTAACATGTGCGATTTGTTGCTTTGCTTTGTCTTCGAAATGCAGCCCCAATGCTACGAAGCACGATTTGTTACGGTTGCTTTGGCCTCGAAGTTGTGCCCGAGTGCGAAGAAGTACGGCTTGTTGCGCCTTTGGCCCGGCAGTATCTGGCATTGGTGCCGCCGCAGTGTTGACACAGCCTGCTTCGAAACCGCCCTTCCACCCATACGCCGCCGCAGTGTTGACACAGCCTGCCTCGAAACAAGCTTGGCATGCGAGTATGTTGTTGCTCCAACTGTGGTTCTTCTGACCGTAACCTTTGTAATTGCCAAAACACCCGGACCCAGGTCCGCGCTTGTTTTGCCGAAAAGAATTGTCAACGGTTGTTTTCTGGGCTAAATGCTGGGGTCCGCGCAGGTCCGCGCCGACATTTGTCGAAAAACCGTTGGTCCGTGCGAGGTTTGTGAGCTAAAAGCCAGAGTCCGCGCAGGTCTGCGCCAGATTTGCCGACAAAAACTGTGCTCCGCACCAGGGAACCCACAGTTGCTGTCAATCTATAAGATTTCCTGAACCAAACCCAAAGTGTCAAAGCGCGCCGAACCAAAACTTTACATACCCCCGCATCAATGCTAAGCTGGTGGGCTTGAACAGGAGTCTTCCTGTCTGCTGGTTTGTGTGGTATCGTTTCTGGGCCTGAAGTGGACATCGGGTTTTGGTTACCTACAAAGGCTCCTCTGTATCACGAGTGGATTTGAAATTTGGACTTTGCCTTGCGCAGTGATCGGACAACACGCGTGAAAAACTCCCGATTGTATGAAGAAACTAATACGGCGGCCGGAAGTGTTCTGACTTGGGTGTTCGACCTCTTTGCTTGGACTTGGATCGCCGACGGCCGTGCCTCACCGTCCATCACTTTTCAGCAGCTGTCATTGCTGTTTGTTGGGCAAAAGACACCCTTGAGGGATTACGGCGTCATGATTATGGACAGCAGCATGTAGCAGCAGACTTCGTGCCCCTGGTCATCCGCTTTCAAAGCTATTCTGCTAAGATTGTTCAAGTACTGTTTGATCTTGTGTTGCTCACCCCATTTGGTGTGATGTTCCAAGCTGTTCACATCGCCCACAACTGGTTGAAACAGCTTACAATTGCGAACACATCGCTGTTGCACTGTCTGCACCTTCCAGCGATCAATCTTCATCGCCAATTGAGCGGGCGGGTTAAAGAGATGTTAGCCGTCGAACAGAGGGGTGGATTTAACATGTGTGGCTTGATGAGGGGTTGGGTGTAACTACATAATGTGATTGGCCACCAAATTGACCGCCATCGATTGATGAGCTGGTGTGTTCATGACATGATTCGAGCTTTACGCTTGCGAGTGAGGAAACGAAATATTTTGCAGTGTTTGCAAGACTCAAAAGAGTCGAAACCTGTTTTTGGCAAGTGTTCGCAGGTTGTCCGAAGCCAACTTGTTGTGTTAAGGGAGATTTGAAAGTTTCTGGTTTATGCAACCTCCTAGCCTTAACTATAGCAATTTTCGATTCGGCTGAAACCGACACTTAATCTGCAGTTTTCCAGCGCACAAACTGAGAAGACACAAGAACCAACCAAAACACAGGGGCACGACCACGGCGCTGGGGAGGCCTGGGGGCGGGGAACTCCCGGACATGTTGCGGCAAGAACAGACCCAACATGCTGTCAACAAAGAAGGTTGTACCGTGGCAGCGGCACACCTGGAAGAACAAACTGACCTTCGCGCGGGCCTTGTGTGGGTGCAAGTCGGCAGTCAAAGCTAGGGACTGAATCCACATGGAGGCGCGAGTTTCGGGCAGCCTTCCGGCTCAAGCTCGTGAAGGGAGAGTTGAACTTGGTAGAAACAAAATTTGTTGAATTGCCGATTGATTGCGGCCTTGAGGAATATGTACCTTGCAGGACGCAAGCCATGCGACTGCTTTAGTTGTTGCATTGTCTTGTCACTTCCCCGTGTTTATCAATTTCTACAACTGCAATTGGACAGGAACACCGGCATCCCGCAGGCAAGGTAGATCGGATTGGCATTTTCTACGGTCCTACGGCCACGAGCAAAGTGTTGAAGGTCCGGGTTGTGGATGTCTTCCACAACCATTTGCTCATTCTGTGCTGGTCGCTCAGCCTCTGCTTGTCTTGATGTGTTGTAAGCATCGGCCAGACCTGTTGAGCTCCAAGGGTGGACGTGGACATCTCTTGCGAACACCGGTTTTAAACGGAGATGCATACAAAGTTTGGGGGAATCACAGGCACGATGACTTGTTGTACAGTGTCAGGGCCGTTGTTCGTAGATCCGGAGAGCTTTGGCTGGCCATGGATGGTTCTGGGCAGTGTTTTCTTTAATGTGTAAGCAGGCGGTAGGTTGTGTGTAATCATCCGGCTATGCTTTGCCAGCAAGCCAGTGCATTGCCACAGAAATCAAGCAGCCACATGCGAAGCCATCTCATTAGTGAACCATGTCTCTGTGGCAGGGGAACGGGACTTCGCTGTAGTGGCTCGGTGTTTGCACGGTCAGATGATGATAGTGACAAAACTTTTAGCAGCCGTTTCTTTCGGGAACTGCAATGTTGTATTGATCTTCACGAAGGCCCAAGTTAAGGTCGTAGACGAACCCTGAACCCTGAACCCGAAGCCGACAAGACCTGCCTGTTTAGGGCTCCTTATTATGGTTTCGACATGTGTAGTTCCTTAACAGGCATGTCTTTTGGACCACAGGTAATCGTAAACTTTCAATGGCAGGTCTCCAGCATGTGGTGGCCTCCAAGCAGGCCTCGCGACGTGCAAGTCCATCTCGTTCTGGTCCACAGCATGTCTCAGATTCGAATCCAACAACCCAGCTCTACATGAATATTGCAATTGCTGTCATGGTAGTTTTATCATGACTACTATCATGTTTGTATATGAGTATAGATCAGGTTTCTGAAAAAGAGCCAACTACCATTATCATTACTATATCTTAGTATATATTGTTCTTACTAGTATTGTTATATATTAGTATATATTTTCTTACCGGTATCTATTACTATAATTATTGTTACATCTTATTCTTGCTTGTATTATTAATCTCCTGCTCGAGAACTCAGGCGGCCGGACCAGCCATGTGCTCGCCTCAGCTCTGATGTAGCCTCTAGGGGTTTAGGGTTTTAGGGTTTTTGCCGTTTTCTGGATGCTCATGGATGAAATCGAAGGTGCTGGAACGTGGCTGGGTTCGCAAGTTGGCTGCCTGCATGGGGGCAGCAGGGTTCTGCACGAGAAGGCAAATCCAGCGGCACATCATCTTGATGGCTTGCAGGTTTTCATGGCTTCGAAAGACTTGTTCTCGACATACATTCCGCTTTGCATGCGCTTTCTGCTGCCAGGTCTTATGGGAGAAGCAGTCCAGAATCACATTCAGATCTCGGAGGCCAGACTTACTGCAGCAACGAGCATGCCTAAGTCCTAAAGAAGCTTTGCCCCTCGCCAGGCAGCCGGGCGACAGCAGGAAGTCGGGAAGCCTGCCTACGGGCAACACCTGCGCAAGGTGCCTCGGAGAGTTCCGGCAGAGCGAAAGAAGTCTGGGAGTCAGCGCGCCCGTGCCATGTTGGTCTCCTGGAGTTGAAAGCCACTGCTGCGGGCGACGGAGATGTTTGTGAAGCTGGTCGTGCTTTCAGTCCTACAGCACTCCGTGCGCTTTTTGTGCCGCGTGACCTGCCTGGGCGGTATGAAGCAGAGGCTGACGCGGATGTTTTAGCAACTTTTGGAGAAGTTGCAACAGCATGGCCGCAGTCTATGCAAGCCTACGTGACTGGTGTGCTACAGCCGGCAACTTATGATGAGGTACATGGAGCAGTGACCGCTTTGAGCGATCACCAGAAGCTTGCATCATGGTGCAGAGGACAGAGCCAATCTGTAAAGGAAGCAGTAGCCGATCTGCCCGGTCAGAAGGCAGTGGTGTTCTGGATGCGGGCACAGAATGCCATGCTCCATATCGAATCGCAGTCCTGCAGTGCTGCACGATTGAGTGCTTGGCGTGTGCAGCTGCCACTGGAAGCAGCGCTACAAGCGGAGCCTGCTGCTCTCCTTGTACCAGAAGCGGCCACGGACGTCGATTGGTCTATTCTGCAGGACACGCACTTCCAGCAGCTTGTGTCCGAGCTGGCAGAGCACGACCTGTTGGGAGCAACCCCGACGCCAGGCAACAATTAGGATGAAAATGGGAACCTGTGTCTGAACACACGTACTGAAACGGGAGTTTCCGAAAATGGGAGTTTTCGAAACTTAGGGGTACCTTATTTTGGGGTCATTATAAGAAGGATCCTACTATTAAGGGCACTATATATGCTCTCGGGTCCCGGCCGCCACCCCCCCCCCTGTAAACTGTGCCGATACACCCACAAGGAATACTCCTTGTTAGGAGGTGTATGACCAGTTATTCCCTAAGGATCAAAGGGCAGCGCCCTGCACACGGACAGTAGTTGTTTTGTCTTGCTACGCAAGGAGAGCTTGTCTTGTCTCAATATGGTAAAACCACTGTGAGCCAATGGGCAGCGGAATGTATATGTATGAGCATGCAGCCATTGCTGTAGGTACCTGTTAGAGCTACCCCTTTAGAGGTTTATGGTTTCAAACAGACACTAATTTTCTTTTACCGGAAGCATGGCCGCACATTCACACATATACTATTATGCCCACTGTCACAGTTGCGGAGTCTGGACTCATGATGAAAACAGCATATTATTTAAGCTAGGTATAGCACTGAAGTACACTGCTGAGGACACTCCTTTTGCACACACTCATGCATGTTGGTCAGAGAGATCGTCTGTACAAGATCATGTCTGGTGATATTTTCTACATCGAATTATGCAGCCCTTCACTTTGCTCTTGTTAGAGCTTTGTGAGTCACTGTTGTGAAACTCCGAGATTTTCCTTATCTCAGATTTGGATCCAGGTTTGGATCATAGGCTCGAGCGTAGACGTTCGGATGTGGCTCATCCGGGTCTGAGTGATCTTCTTCGGAACTTGAATAAATTCCGAGTAGTCTGTTCTCAGCCCTGGTGAAGGCGGCGTCTGCAGTATCATATCCATGGTTGGATGTTGTCGCCTTTGGCTCGGCCTTTGGCGCAGCTTGTGAGCTGACTGGAGTTGCCTTGGCTTTAGCCGGTTGTGGCTGCTTAGCCTTTGCCCGTTCAGCCCTTCTTCTTTCAAGCTGTCCGTCTGAGGACGCCCATGATCTTTCACTTTCATCTCCTGAAGGAGATAAGGCGTGGGCATAAAGGCTATTCCAGTACTGTGCTGCAGAAGGAGTTAGGACTTCTTCATTGTCAGATTCTGACTGGTCTTCCTCAGAGCTTTGGTCGTCAAAGAGTGTCTCGAGGACATTTTTGAGATTGTTATTTCTTCGCTCTATCTCTAGTGAGGAATGGACCAATTGGTTAAAGACTGTCCTTGAGTCCTTCAGTGCTGTTAGAAGGATTTCCACTCTGGATAGAGTATCTTGGATGGTGTCAAGATGTTCCTTCCTTTCCTCCTTGTCTCTCTGGATAGAGCTTCGCAATGATTGTGCGATTCTGAGGAGGTCTGTGTATTTCGTAAGAGGCATAGTTACCGTTTGATTGTCATGTATGACAGTTGTTTCGTCGCCGCTTAAGTTCCTGAATAGGACTTCCACGACTGGTAGAAACTCCGTGCTCCACGGTTCCTCTTCATCATATGTTTCTACGTGCTGTAGCACGCGTTGTGTAAACTGATCGGCTGCTTCTACCGTTGCATCGATAGAGCTGACGTGTCTTGCTGCCATGTTTCGGCACGTAATGTTAATTGCCTGGCCTTGATTGGCTTCGTTAAGTGCAGCGTCTGCATAGGTGCAGAGTCCACTGTTGTGGGCTTCTCTGGCTGCCTTTCGTTGAATGCGCCGATTTTGACCTCCTCTTCTGGTAGGACCTTTTGGTCTCGGAGGATCTGAAGGTACTGTTCCTTTCGCCTTTGGCGGAGGACTCTTAGGTGGAGGTGACATGTTTGCCTTGTTAGGCACTGGTGGCATTGCCTTGGGCGCTGACGACGATGCGGCACTTGAGAGTGCAGATGTACCTTTGGCTTTTGCCGAGGATCCCTTGGGGATCGATGTATAGGTAATCTGCATGGCTTCTTCGGCCATTTGTGCATGCAATGCATCTTTGAATAATTGCGTCATATGAGGAGTGGTACTTGCATCATCGTAGGTCTGGAAGCGCTCAATGTCTCTTTCGGTGCCACGTGGACGTGTATCACCTCTTTGAAAAGGATCGTTCCTGCGAATCTCCGCAACTTGTACTGCATGGAGGCAGTTTTTGCACAGCACCTTCCTGCAAACATCTCTTGCTTGCTTGAGCTGGTAACAGCTGTCTGAGAGATGGTAGACTTCGCTTCGGGAAGTATGCCAGATAGGTCGCAGATCAGTTGTTTCTCCGGAATTGACCCTGTTGGGTCCTAAAGGTTCACGCGTCTGCGGTTCATCCTCGGGTTCGAGGAATGGAACTCTTTGGTTCGCTGCTGCTTTTGATTTTGGTTGTTGGCGCTCCATACATCTGATAGGAGGCCTGGTAATCTGCTTCCACATCCAGTGTAAGCCCATTAGCAGCAGAAACACATTCCACGCGATGCTGAAGACGGAGAAGTCCTGCTCACTGGTTAGTGAGTTTGGAAGTGAAGTTTCATCAGTCTTGATAGACTCTGCGTTCGCTCCACCTTGGTTGCGGTGTCCGAACCAGCCCGACAACCCCGCTGCTGTAGCAGCTGTTCTGAGTGCCTTGCCGCTCGGAGCAGACGGTGGACGCGATGCCTTCCTTCTTCTCCTCCGGCTGGAGGATTCGTCCTCTTGTTCCTCTTCATCTCTCTGAGCAGACATCAAGTTTGATGTTTCTCTTTCGTGTTCTTCGATGTCACTTTTTGTTGGTGACGGTTCCTCTTCTAGTCCATCCAGCTCTTCCAAAGACATGTTGAGCTTGTCAACAATATTGGTTCTTTGAGGCCTGGACCTTGATCTTGGTAGATCTTGTTGTGAAGAGGACGATGATTCCTGGTTCCTTCTTGGAGGAGGACCTTCAGGCTCGCTGGGACGTTCAGGCTGTGGCCATTCCCAGAATCTTCCGTATCTGTGATGGCTACCTGATGGTTGCGATCTGTCGTACCAGCTGTTGCCGGATGAGTAAACGAATGAATCTTTGTAACCCCAGTATTCAGCATTACGCTGCTTGAAAGCCTTTCGCTTGTCAGCGATCTTCTGAACCTGGGCATCTGACCGGTTGTGTTTCCCTTTTGTAAGGATTGGTTGTATCGTGAAGCCCAAAGGGCTGTGCCAATCTTTGTCAGAGGGACTCAACCATAGGTCAAGGTTAGAAAAAGTTGAATAGTACTGCTTGACTGAGACAAACAGACGGATATCAATATCCCTGTTATTGTTCATGTCCTGCCACATATCTGAGATTCGCTCCCAGTATGTTCTTTCGGCGGCAGGTGTAACATCTCTTGGACTAGGTGACGCCGTGTGCGGCGTTTTACTCCAGTCAAGGATATAACTGTTGATACAGTCAAGGTCAGCAACTTTCTTCGCCGGGTCCGCCGGTAGACGATCTGCACGTGCCAGTCTGTGCTGGTCGGAGTTGTTCAAGCAAAGATGTCGCACTTGTGAGTGCCTTCCTGCTATTTTGTTGAATGCTGCAAGTTTCTTCTCCAGGTATAGAGAAAACAAACTGTTTCGCGGGTGAACGTCTCCACCTTTTAAGGTGAGCCTCGTCGCAATATTATTGAGATCTCCCGCTATTACATCCGGTTTAAAAGGGAGAATCTCGTTGAGGAACGCGTTCACCAGTTCGCGTCTCTGTTCTTCCTTATGAGTCATGTATGAGTTGAAATGGACGATCGCGATGGTGATGACCTTGTAAGGCCCTTTTGTACACCACATCTCGTCAAGATCGTTCGATGCTTCTTGTGAGAAGATCTCTGCGTATGACTCAAAGTCTTCCTCTGGTGGCTCATCACCCTCGACATGGCCGTTCCATTCACAGAGAACCGGCGAGGGGTCGAGGTTCGACAGTGTCAGGCACGCCTCTGGTGAGAGGTAAGAGCCATCAGTGGGTCCATCCTTGTCAGGATTTTTGCCCTTGAGTGGGTCATATCCGATAATCTGCATGAACTCGTCTCTCGTCATCCTTTGGCCAGAATATGGGTGGACCCATTCTTTTGCCTCCTGGATGGTACTGTGGTACCCAAAGGTGAGGCGGCATACCGCACCGTGGCATGCCCACAGTCGCTTCTTGGGACCACCATTCTTAGGCTTCATTGTTCGATGACGGTAAAAGTGGTGAACGAGAGCGATGTCTGTTGTTGGGTCACCCTTGACTCCAATATACATCGAGGGTGCCTCAGGCTCCTTGGGAGGAGAATGGATTAGCATCCCCCTGTATTCATGTTGTCGCATGGTTGCGATCGAATACTCTGACGCAAGTGCTCCTGCCTCGAGTACGAGGGTAATATGAGCTGAATTGTTGAAGCACATGTCAATAAGAGGGTGATAATCGAATCCCTTCTCAGGTTTGAGCTTCTTTTTGGGATTCCCTGCGGGCACCGGCGCTCGATCCATATTTCCCCAGTTGAATACCACTAGGTTTAGCGATACGCTGTCTGGGTTTGAGCCTTCAATGTATTCTCTCTTCTCGTTAACACCGGCCATCCTATTGCGAACTATCTCGTAATGTGCGTCGAGCACCAGTTTGTCTTCGTAGCCAGTAAGAGAGAGAAAAGAAGCCGGGTGGCTTGTTCTAGAGTCCTTGATATTGATGTGACTCTTGTTAATGCTCTTGTATTCCTCCAGGGTTGGAGCCTCTGTGGAGCTGTCATACGTATTCGGAGGATTGTTCCTAATATCATCAAGGCTGCATGGATCAACGCCTGGATGGTCCTTCTCGAACAGATTTCTTGCGTGGTCGCAATACATGTTGATTTTCTGGACTGCCAAATCTACGTCCTCATGTGTGAGGATGGCCTCGTATAAAAACTGACGCTCTTCTGAGGTCATTCCTGCTGACACTTTAGAGGTCTCGAGGCAATCGATTGGCAAGACGCACTCGCACATCCGTTGTTTACCCTGTGGGGTAAGTCGACAGTCTGCACATACAATCGTACCACAGGAATAGCAAAAATAGCCTGTAGGCTGTTTGCAGAGATCGCAG